GGACAACTTTCATTAAAAACTACTGAAAACGAAGAAACACAGTTTCCATTTCCCTACATACCTGTTCATTCAGCCCTGTGAAGCAATATTACTCATGGTTTGCAAACTTTGACTTAGAATTTACATCTTAGATGCCTGCACCAGAATGGGTGTGAGAGGACTATGTGTTGTGAGTCCTGTGGAAAGAAAATACGTAAATGTCAAAGAAAAACAGAACAGATTTCTCAAGCACACTGGTAATTATTACAGGTAATGTGATTACAGAAGTTTAAAACATTCACATATTAAGACACAGAATTTAAAGTGCAGAACTGCCACCAAAAAATTCACTGTTTTTTTTTTCATTCATTGTTTATTATCCTGTATTTCTAGAGCTGGATGTTGGCCATTCTTGGCAAACTCCTACTAGCAACTTATTTTTAAAGATAATTTATTTTCATTAGCTCTCCCTCCCACTTTGCCTGAAAAACTGTAACTCACCCCAACTTTTCACCTTCTTTTAAAGCAGTGTTTTCCAATCTAGTCTCACCAACAAAAACATCTATTACACTCCCCCATTGATCTCTCATTGTGAAATATTTTGCAACTACACCTATTAAGTAATTTTCCTATTCTTAATTATTCACTTAACTCCCAGTCAAATGTTATAATTAGATGAAAGAACTAGGACTCAGTTAATAAAATTCAAGCCAGAAATAAATAAATATTTTAGCCTTTTGATGGGCAAAGTTTATATTATATCAGGCTTTCTGAAAAGTTGAAAGCCTCTAAAGAATCTCAAGGACTACAGAATTCCTTCAACCCTAAAACTGAGAAAACCAATTTTTAAGTTTTTTTTGTTGTTGCGAAAACAGTTTTCTGGCTTTTTTTTTTTTAATAATTACAGTACAGATCTCTTTTGTCTCATTTGTCCAGTCTTTATTTTTAACTAATAATTATTAACTCTAAAAATATAATCTATAATTAAGGGATAAATGCTAGCATGTCCATAAATAGACACAGCAAGGATCAGATTCTGCTTGGCCTTAATCTCAACTAGATGACCCTGTATAAATAGCCTGGGTCTCTCATGTTTTGCTTTTTTTTTTCTCTTTTTCAAATATATTCAACCTGGCTGGAAAATCAATCTGAAAGAAAGCTCAGCAGAGATCTCAGATAAAGCAGGAACTTTCTGGGTTGGAAAGGAATAAACAAAGCATTTAAGAATAGAAAGAACAGATATGTGGTGCATTTTAATTTAATTTATTTATTTATTTATTTATTTATTTAAGATTTATTTATTTATTTATACAAGCACTGGGTACAGTCAGAAGCACGGGAGGGTGAGAGAACTCACCAGAGCCAGAGCGGGTAGCAGAGCAGGCAGAAGGACCGAAGTACACCGCTGAGGGGAGCAGCGGGCCACAGGAGAGGTCTGCGCGCCATGTGGGACCCTCCTCCAGTGGCTGGGGAGCAGCCGGGGATCAAACTGGCGCTGCAGAGGCTGCGGGCAGCTTCGCAACCCAGTGCTCAACCGCTGTGCCAACGGGAGGCCCACATTTTATTTTTAAATCTTCATTTAAAGACAGGTTTAGGTTGGACTACATTTTTTGCAGGGGGTGGTGGTTGTTTTGGTGTTTTTGAAAGTTGGTGGGCTTGCCACTGCTACTAAATGGAACAGCTTTATCAGTTGTGGATCCGGTCACCCTGACAAGGCATCACTGTAGGCAGTGAAGCCTGATTTTGGATTCCTGTTTGGTACCCATTACCTATCCTCTCAAGTCCTTAGCTCTCCCTCAGAAGTTTCAATGTGCAGCTGTCTGAATGCGCAATACTTATGGGTCACAGTTAACAGTTTCAAAAATTTCACCAGATTACTGCAATTTAAAGCCTGAAAAAAAATCACTTTTCACTTCAAATCACACTGGCTCCAATGACCTGCATGAACGATGCTGTGATACATTTGAAGTTTAAGATTTAGGACTTGATAAAGATTACTTTAAAATATTCTGAAACTGATTTACCAAACAGCACTTGTTCTCAAATGCATTGTGCTAAACTGGAAATGAAGCTCTCATTCTTCGCAATTATCTTTCAAGAAGCACTTTAACAGCTTGCTCCTCCTTCAAAGGAATCATTCTGGCCACCCAGGTGAAAAAAAGAGCTCTTGTAAATTCAAAATAGTGCCTAGGTCAGAGTTTCTCAACCCTGGCTGCACATTAGAATCATTGGGGTTGCTTTTTAAAAATAACTATGCCCAGCCCTTTTTGATTAATTGGTCTTCGATGGGAAGTTGGCACAGTACATCTTAAAAGCTCCCCAGATGACTCTAATGTGCAGACAAGAACAAGAACCATTAGGCTACAAGAATGGCTTGGGCCAGGCTTCCATCAACACATTTCTTTTTAGGGTCTAATATGAACCAAAGACTTTGTTGGAACTCTTCAGCCCAAAGGCTGATTTGAAAACGGAAGAAGAAAAAAAAACTGTTAAAAATTTACAATTATAAATTATTCATGTAAAAATAAAATGTCCCATTGCCATGATTTTCACTAAAGCGTCATTCAGTTTCTGCTGTCAGAATAGATTTTCCTAAGTCACAGTTAGGCTCTAGCCTTTGTGGTAGCCACCTTAAAATAGAGAATAAATGGAAACTGAAATGTTCCCCAAATCCCAATATTTCAAGCTCCCACACTTCCTCATATATCATGGGCGATACAAAAATTACCATTTAGACTATATAACTGAGGCTACCAGAAGGGGCGGAAGAATGGTGACAGCAAGGCTAGGAGGGTGGTGGACCATAGGTGTCTTGTTGGTGGGTGTAGTGTGGTGACAACATCTGAGGGGAAAGATCCTACATTTGCAAGACACAAACAAGGCAAGCCAATGTTACTGCAATAAAAAATAAGTATCACCTATCGCACTTCTTGATTTAGCAAAATATCACATGCTCTACCTGTAATGTCAACATCTTCCTTTTTTTTCTAACTTTTTAAAGACAAATCCCTTTTCTCTATAAAGCCTTCCAGGTCACTTTGTTCCACTGATTTCTTCCTATATGAATTTACAGTTTCCTCCATTGTCATCTATTATATTATCACCGAACCCTTCATCACTTTGGGCCTATTTTTCTAAGCACCTTGAGGATAAAATACACTCTCCCTGGCCATCTTTTTGTTATCAATGTTTCTACGACAAACGCTCACAACAGATACTCGATTTCCATTATCATTATAACTTTCTAGCCCTATTTAACCTTTCCAACTCTTTCGAGATCTTCCCTCAACTCTCCAACTCCCTTTTTTCCAACTAGAGTATCCACCCTACAAGCATTCTCAGATACTACTACTGACTTTCGAATGTTGGGACTCTACAATGTGTGCTACACAAAAATAAGATTCTTGTCCTTGGTGATTTTTTTAAGTGTTTTACCTACCTATTTCCTTTACGATTTACCTCTTCCCTCCCCTCAAAATCTGAATTTACCTTTCTACCTAGTCAACTTCCTCAAGCAAGTCTTCTTTCCAATAAGTACCCTACTACTAATTGTCCCATTCCCTCCCCAAGTAGCCCTTTCGAAGCATTTGTTCTATTTTCTAAGATGGCGGCTGCAAAGCCCAGGAAGGAAAGCACAAGTTCCACCCACACAAGGATGGAACTTAGCAGCCAAAGGAGGATATGCTTTAGGGGCCTTGGGTGTGGTGCACTGTGGATGCCTGAAGAGTCATAAGGGCCCCAAAAGCGGGGTCCCCAGAGAGAGAGAGAGAGAGAGAGAGAGAGAGAGAGAGAGAGAGAGAGAGAGAGAGAGAGAGAGAGGAGGAGACCGGGGGACCACTAGCCAATGCCTCCGCCCACACTGCGCCAAATCCAAGACCTCCATCACAGGAAGTGGAGGCCCTGCCCCCCAGCTTCAGAGGCCGGAAGTGAGCGTTGCTGGGGCGCGGACGTGGGACCCAGGCGATTGTACGGAAAGTGTGAGTCGACTGAGGTAGGAATGGCATCGCGGACCTGGCTTAGGGCCTCCTAACAGCTCACCTTTGGGGTGCTGGCTTCTCTTCACCACTGATACCACCATATTCTGCCCAGAGCCCTTGTTGTCCTGCGGGTTCTCAGCCTCTGTCCAGTCCCTCTCCCCAGGTGGGCGGTTCGCAGCTGCAGCAGCCACATCTCAGTCCCCTGGAGGGCCTCCCTAGTGCCCCCACCTTTTTTTTTATGGTTAACGCCTTACCATTTCTTAAATCTACTTTGAATGTTTTGTTTAAGGAAGGAAAAAACATTGTTTTACTAAGGCCCCAGCTCTGTTTAACCAGTTGCTTCAGACAACACCCAGCCCCAAACTTGACTGCTTCCTGTCGTTTATCAGTTTCTCCAAGGTCTAGTGCTCTGGAAAAGGTAAAGAACTTTTTGTTAACAGTTTAATGTGGAAGATCCTTAATGGGAGCAGCTGAATAATGACGCTGTGGATTGCCGTGCCCGTCCTCTGCTAAAATAGTACTTTTCGCCACCAAAAAGAATAGTTTGGCTTCCTTCAAGTTTGTATCGGGTACTGATTACTCCCCTTAAATGCCAAAAATCACGAAACAGAAAAATTCTTTCTTCCAAACCGCTTTTATTTTTAATGAAAAAATATGAAGTAACTTTGTACAAGTGAAACATGACAAAAGGAACATTAAGATTTCTTAATCCAGACATGAAAAATATTTTTTAAAAGTTTCACTAATGAATATTATTAACAGATGGGCTCAGCAGCAAATTAATAAACTAGAGTTCCAGCTGATCCCTTGTACTTCTTATAGGTTCCAAGGCTGCTTATGTCATAGAATGGTGCAGAAGGGGAGTGGAATTATATGAGGGGCCAAAGGAGAGCTTGTTCTATAGGCAGGAGCCGTAAAGCTGGCCAGTTTTCAGAAGTTTACTATAGGGATGGTTTCATATAAATTTAATTTTTATATAAATTTAATTCCCATAAGTTTAAACAAGGGGGGGTGGGGTTTCCTTCTGGTAGAAGAGAATTCAATCTTCAAAACCATTTCTCTTCATTTTCCATGCTTCTGTTAACAGATTTCTTCTATTATGATTGTTATCTATAAAATGGACAATTCTTAAGTCTTAACATTCAGAAGTTTCTCCTCAGTGCATGGGGGAATGAATATTATCTGAAGAGACTTAAATAATCTAGTTTATCCATTTTAGCATAGATCAGGGGGAGGAGGGAAGTGAAACATTACTGGGAAAAGTGTGTCCCTCCCTGATCATGTTTAAGGAAAGTCATGGAAATGGTAAACTAAAATATCTCTGGGCATATTAGATGGATTGAGGGTAAACTGACGTAAGTCTGACGTAGACCTCAGCATTTCCAGGTCCCAGCGGGAGAAAGACTGGCAGTATTTTCAACAAGTTGAGAACTTTAAAACTATTCCTATGTTCATTCTGAAATATAAATAGAACTAGAACAGGGAGGGAATGGAGCAAGAGAAAATAGTATTCTTGTGGTCTTGACTTGTCCCCTCTGATGTGAAGTTTTTCAAATATTAATAGTTGGTAAACATTACAGGCTGTTGTGATGATACTTAAAATAGATTGTCACCTGAATACAGTTTAAATTGGTAGTCATAATTGGAGTTTCTTAATTATTTATGAATCCTAGAATTTATTCCAAGAGTGTGAATTTGGCTAAAATATTAAAATGCTTCACAGTAGTGAAGGATAATAGGGAGAAAATGTTGGGAGGAAGGGCTTCTTACATTGATCTTGGGAGAAGCTTCAATTCCAGTTCGACTCTACTCTCAGGGCTATCTCTACATTTCACTTCTGATTCCCTGACCACTGCTTTTTTCGCCACAGCACTTGGATCAACTCCTTCATTTCCAACATGGAAGAAACTTACAGTATGTACTACTTGTTGCTTTTGGAAAATAAATTACTTACATATAGTTTTAGCTCTAACATTAGCGGGAAAGTCTTGTGGTGGTGATGTAGAAAAGTGCCCACGTTTAAGCTAAGACACTTGGAAACTTAAATAGTTACAGAGGTATGGGAAGCCATCAACTTTGAAAAAACTGCAGCTAGAACACCTGTTGTAAACTATTGATATTTTTATTAAATGATACGTATTAATTTCTTAAAATTTCAGTTTCTCCTGTTCATGACACAGGGGTAACCTGTTTTCTTTCTAATTTGTGGGGTGATATGGTATACATAGTAAGATTGATGTGTATTGAGTTTCTAATGTTAAAGAAATGCTAAGAGGAATTCTTGTTTCTCCAATGATTCAGCAATCATTCACCACAAATTTTTTAGTTAAAAAATAAGTTTTTTAAATCTAGAAAAGCAGTCTAGAACTGACCTACCTACTTGTCACTGAACACCAATTTATAAAACATTATGGTAGGAAACTATCATTGTCAACTCTGACATCTGTCATTGTATGGACTGTCTGATGTATGTGAATCATAAGGTACCTCTGGGCTGTCAGCTGCTGACATGGTCTAATATTTTCTAGCAATGGAATGGATTAAATGAAGGAAAACTAATAAGAATTTCATCTGTAAACTCTCCCTAGGTGTCCTAAAGCTTCTGAAATAGGAAAAAATTGCTGGTTGGGATGATCCTAGTTGGCATAAAAAGCCTGTCCTCTAAGACTTTTCCTTCCTATTCCTTCTGTCCTTCAACTCACCTTTCTGGCTCATTTGTACCTCGATCATGGTTAACAATTTATTCTATGTTTACCACTATCCCAGTGAAGCTGTCTGTTTCATTTCCCCCCAGACTTCTGATTTTCATAGCAGTCTCCTGGTTTATATGCTTCTTATCAAGTGTGAATTGTTTATCATAGCTCACTCTTATCAATGCCTTCAGTGGTGGCAACAGCATTTTACTAGGTTGCCTCCTGTCTTCATATTCATTGTGCTTAACCACTTAATTCCCTTCCTTAACCAGGCTTATTAAAATTTGGGCTCAACTGTAGCATCTTGTAAAGCCTAAGGGTAGTATTTACAAATTCCCAAGTAACTAGCTCTAGAAATGATACTAAAAGTGTAGTCTTTTTGAGGGGGTGGGGGGAAGCAAATATTATATAAAAAATTTTTAAAAATGATAAATGTTAAAGTAAAAAAATTAATTTAAAAAAATTAAAAAATAAATTAGGCCTCCCTGGTGGCGCAGGGGTTGAGCACTGGGTTGTAAACCTGCCCGCAGCCTCTGCAGCGCTGGTTCGATCCCTGGCCACCGGGTGAGGGTCCCACATGGCGCGCAGACCTCTCCTGCCACCTGCTGCTCTCTTCAGCAGTGTGCTTCGTCAGTCTGCCTGCTCTGCTCTCCACTCTGACTCTGGTGAATTCTCTCGCCCTCCCACGCTTCTGACTATACCCAGTGCTTGTATAAATAAATAAATCTTTAAAAAAAATTAAAAAAGATAAAAATGTAGTCTTCTAAGGCTGATTTTAACTAGATTTTAACTAGATTTTGTTTCACACAGCAGTTTCATATGTTCAACTTCAAGAGATTCTGGTTTTGTAGAGTATTCTGTTTTTCTATCTAACTAATTTGGTAATCACTAGAGTAAAGAATTTTTTTTTTCCGTCATATGTGTTTCAAAATATAAAAAGTAAAACCACCTATTTGCTAAAGGTAATTGTTTTCATCAGAAAGGTAACTAAATCAAGACCAAGAACTACATATAGTAGTACGTTAAAGCAGATAGATGAGAAAGAAATTTATCAATATTTCTCAAGCTTCCATAGAGCATATAATTGAAATAGAGCAGGGCTTGCCAGCTTTTTCTATGTCATGGCATACTATATAGCAAATAGGGAATCTGGTAAAGAGGTTTAACTACCTTCAATTTGAAAAAAAGGACCAGTATGGGGGAGGGGGCACATGTGCAGTGGACACCCTCACACCCCCACCCCAGCCCAACAATATATTAGCACACCATTCATTACAAACTTCAGCATACTATTCGGGAAACCTGGTAGGGCTAAGCAGAGATAGGAATCACCCTACACTAGCATTTTTCGAAAAGGAAGGAGGATGGATTTCATTTAACTTTCTGTTTTATAATAAGGGTAATCAACAATCGAATTTATTTATGTACATCCAAATTTGAACTAAGACCCCCTTCCATGATTGCTGTTTTGTTGGATTTACAAAGCTTTGGTAGTTACAGTGTTTTATCTTCTCAGTTACATTTTCATTTTCAAATGTATAGTCAACTTTTTTTTTAATTCCAAGTTGTCATTGGACTATCTTATTCTATTCTTACAGATTCTGTGAAAAATATATTATGCCTGGAATACAGTAGTTTTACAAGGGCCTGTTTTGCTTAATACCTACAATGTTTTTTTCTCTTTCAGTCGATTCCCTGGACCCTGAGAAGCTATTACAATGCCCATATGATAAAAATCACCAAATCAGGGCCTGCAGGTTTCCTTATCATCTTATCAAGTGCAGAAAGGTAGGGTATTGTTTTCATAAATTGCCCTGTAATGCCTCCTGAGTTTTTTAAGAAGCCATGTTTTGTTAATTTAAAATCATTTTTGCATAAATGTTTTAACTGAGTGCTAAACTATTTTTTGGGAATCTTCCTTTGGGGAGTTTATTTCTTGGCTACCTATGTTGTTTTTTGTTTTTTTGTTTTTTTTCCCTTGTTTTGTTTTTTTCCACCTACCTACTGACAAAGCATACTTTATAAACAGTTTCTTTGGAATCTCCTCACCCTATATATGACAGAGGAAGTGTGAGGGAGAAAGGATGTCCTGAGCAAACTCCATGCAGGCTTTGTGGAGTCCACCCCCATGACATGGGAACTACAAATCCCATGATCACCAAAGGGAAGGTTGTGAGGACCTGAGGGCAGAGTTAAGCAACTAGGCTCTCATTTTGAATAATTAACTGGCCATGTGGCTGGGGGGGTCGGTCGCCTTCTTGGCTACGAGGCGTGGTCTGTTTTTTGCCAGCTGGGGGGGGGGGTCATTGGGATTCCAAGTCAGGGGAACAGTAGGACGCATTTACGAACTTATCTCCCTCTTTTTCTCCCTGAGTTACTCATTTTCCCGTTCCCTTGTAAATAAACCTTTTATCAACCTGTTGTGTATGTCTGCAGGTTAGCATTAGTAAGTCCCCTTTAAATGTGTGGGTGAGGACCCACAGTCAGGCAACCCCATTTTATTCAGGGTTTGCCCTGTAACAGAAGCACTAATTTTTGCTAACAATAATAAATCTCTCTTGCAAATTTGATGTGTTCATTGTCCTGATGAAGATTGAGTGCTATAATATACATGTTTCTGATTTTTGTTTAGAAACTTTAGAGAAGTTGAACAATTAGAGCTTAGCCCAAGAAAAAAATTTTTCAAAAATTTTTCTTAAGAATAACTATATCAACAGTAAGCCACTTGAGGGGTAGAAAAATAAACCTCATCAATTTTTTTTTCTCTGCTCACTTTTGTAGACATAGCTGATATTAACTGCTTTGATTAAGGCACTTTGAAAGGATTTTTAGAATGCAGTGTCAGCTACAAAGACCAATGTTCTGCCAGTATTTATGCTTAAAAATCATTTTGATATTTAATCCAAACTACATTTAATTCATATATGTATGAGCATCATTTAAAGGGTGTTTTTCTCTTGCAGTTCTAGAGATGTGGCTGTAGTACCATTGTTGGTTATTTCTGTAGCCCTTTTTATTTTAAGATTTATTTATTTATGCATACAAGAGCTGGGGTGCAGGCCAGAGATGCGGGGGCTGAGCGGATTCACCGAGACAGAGTGGGGAACAGAACAGGCAGACTGACTGAAATACACAGCTGAGGGGAGCAGCAGGTGAGACAGGAGAGGTCTTCTGCGCCATGTGGGTTGCTCCCTGACCAGCCGGGGATCAAACTCATGCTACAGAGGCTGTGGATTGCTTCATAGTGCAGTGCTTAATGCCTTGCACCACCAGGGAGGCCCTTTTTATTTTTTTTTAAGATTTTTATTTATATATGCAACAAGAACTGTGGTGTAGGTCAGAAATGGGGGGAGGGGGGTAAGAGGATTCACCAGAGACAGAGTAGGGAGCAGAACAGGCAGATCTACTGAAATACACTGCTGAGGGGAGCAGCAGGCAAGATAGAAGAGGTCAGCTGCACCATCTGGGTCAGCTCCCTGGCCTGGGATCGAACTCTTGCCACAGTGTCTGGCAATAGCTTGATAGTGCTGAGACCTCAACCCCTGCACTACCAGGGAGGCCCCTAGCTCTTTAATATCTGGAGTAAAAATTATTGAAGTTGAACCCGGATAATATGACTCAGGAAATACTACCACCACTTTTCCCTAGGCATTCAAACCTGTCCCAAGGTAGTGGCTGGGGAAGGAGTCCAGCAGTACAAAACATTGTCATCACGCCCCTCTTCTGATGTTCTTTGGCCACAAAACCTTTGCATTGGCTACCTAATGTCCCTTGTGAAAATCAAGAAGATAAATGCCTCCCAGTTTTCTCCAGCCCCTATGTTTTTCTAGCTTTCTGCCCACTTTAAATTACTTTTATTTTTTCACATATATTTTGTGATACATCTTTTGCTTCTCCTAATGTTTCTTAATTGTTGGTATGTTTACCAGAAACTTTGGGTAGTATTAAACACTTCTTTTGCTTTCTTGTTTTAAAATAAGGAACTTGGTCAGCAGAGTAGACTATCGTTTGGGCTTTTTCTTGCTGAGATAAAGGTCAGATTGTTCAGAACCTCATTTCAGGCACATTACGTCAAATAAGCATTCCTGCGTTAGTCTGAGAAATCCTCAGTTTGCCTCTCCTGCAGCACCCTTCCAGCCTGGCCAGCACTGTGGCATTGCAGTAGCTGGGGACTGCCGCAGTGCAGGCTGAGTGTGTTTTAGTGTTGCTATTCATCCTGAACATCAGCTTTTAAAGACAGCCAGAACATTCTACCAGTCCAGGTGCCACCTGAATCTTGTGATCCTGAGAACTAAACAGGAAGAAGAAATACGGTTCAAGTACCAAATTCTAAATTCAGTGTGGAGCTTCATGTAAGCCATTTTAACCCAGTATCTGTGATGTCAGTCTCTACAGTCATAACAGAGGCTTGCATTTTGATGATTTTATTATCATGTCTAAGTGATCTGATTGAGCCATCAATAATCTATTAATTTTCTACTGTGAGTTTACCTATCTTAGTTATACCACAAGTTTATTGAGAGATTTTAGGGGAGCCATTTATAAAATCACCACTCACCCTAAACTTTAATGGACCCAAAAAACTGACAGACCCCTTAATTTTTGTTCCACAGAATCATCCTGATGTTGCAAACAAATTGACTACCTGTCCCTTCAATGCTCGCCACCAGGTTCCTCGGGCCGAAATCAGTCATCATATCTCAAGCTGTGATGACAGAAGTTGTATTGAGCAGGATGTTGGTAAGTCTGAGTAGCTAAATGTCTCAGTGCGGGAGGCTGGCCCCTTCACATTTTTATTATGCTGCATCATCACCTGGATTTTTGCCTTTCATCCTTTCAAAAGAACAGTATTTTTCTGCCTTTGAGATTTTTATCTCAGCAGCAAAAGATTGTCAGGTCGTGTCTATCAGATTGCATTCCCTTCCCAGCCGCCTGATTCATGGTACTAGGAAGTCATCTAAAAATAAAAATCCTTTCATTGTCATAAATATAGTAAACATCTTTGTTTCTGCTTTTCTTTCTTCTGTCAGTAAGCAAATAAGACCCCTCTCTCTAGCTTCCATACGATCATTTTTTTTCAGAAACAAAGGTTGCTGTCCCACAGCCTTATAAAAATCTAACTCCTTTAAACATCGCTTGGTGATGTCCCCTTCTTATGTCAGAATTCTGTTTCCTTGCAGTCAACCAGGCTAGGAACCTGGGACAAGAGACCCTGGCCGAGAGCACATGGCAGTGCCCTCCTTGCGATGAAGACTGGGATAAAGGTGAAGCCCCTCTGCAGTTTTTCCTTCAGTGTCTAAATCTCAAGTCATTTAAGACAGAAGGAAGGTTTTCCTTCTTTCTTGCCGTGTTGTTCAGAATGCCTTATTATCCTTATTATTTTTATTGGGCCCCCAAATGAGCACATTTTTATCACTGTGCAGACACACAGAACAGCCCATCCCTCTTGACTGGATAAAGCACTTCTCTGCATCTGTTTTTCCCATAAGTTGTGTTGTGTCATCTGTGTTTGGTAGTTACTGGGTACATTTATTATTATTTATGTCACTTGTGTTTATATTTTTTTAATTAAATTCCTGCTACTGTGTTGTTTAGGCAGGACACTTGCTCACTTGTTCTCCAATCTTGGGTATATTATTACAGATTCAACTAGCAGGAACTAGTGTCTTACCTAGTAGGGCCACCAACTTTGTTTTCTTATTTTGGCAGATTTGTGGGAAGAGACCAGCACCCCATTTGTTTGGGGCACATCTAACTACTGTGGCAACAACAGGTAAATAAAATGGTCTCATTTCCAGCACTGCCTTTTAAAATCAAAATGCTCTGTTACTAAAAAAAGCCACCCAAGCATGAACTGACCTCTTGCCTTAATACTACTTGGTGGTAGGACCTCCCTGATGGCACAAGGGGATAAGATGTAACATTATGAAGCTAGCCATAGCTACTGCAGCAAGAGTTCAATCCCTGGCCAGGGAGGTGACCCACATGGTGCAGGAGACCTCTCCTGTCTTGCCCACTGCTCCCCTCAGCAGTGTATTTCAGTAGATCTGCCTGTTCTGCTCCCCACTCTGTCTCTGGTGAATCCTCTCACCCCGCCACACCTCTGAGGGCCTGCACCTCAGCTCTTAAATGCATAAATAAATAAATCTTTAAAAAAAAAATCTACTAGCTACTTTTTCAGAGGATTTTTTTCCCTTTTATTTCTTCATTCATAAAAAAAGTCATACACTGTGTTAATCACTGTGGGAACACAAAAATACTAGCTTATTAGTCTATCAAGGCAGACCGTGGTGCTAGACTTTCTTATGTCTTGCTTGGATAGTTTGCTATTTTAATACTTTGAAAAAAATTCTCCATCTATACCACGTGAATTATATTAACTCTGGGTAGCTACGATCTGAAGAAAAAGTAATCTTAAGAATTCTTGATTTGAAATTAGAGGAGTCCAAATATCTTTGGGCAGGGAAAACACTACATCTCTTTTTCCCACTAATTTTATATCTACTTGTAAAACTATAAGATTTCTCTTTACAGCTTGATTTTTTTAAAAGAATTTATTCATGTATACAAGAACCAGGGCACAGGCCAGAGATACTGGGGGTGAGAGGATTCACCAGAGACAGAGTGGGGAACAGAACAGGCAGACTGACTGAAATACACCGCAGAGGGGAGCAGTGGGCAAGACAGGAGAGGCCTGCTGCGCCATGTGGGTTGCTTCCTGGTGGTCAGGGGATCAAACTCGTGCTGCACAGGCTGTGGATTGCTTTACAGTGCAGTGATTAATCCCTTGCGCCACCAGGGAGGCCCACAACTTGAATTTTAGAAGATCTTAAAAGCTCAAGTTTCAAACCCAAGTGAGAATATTTCTGCATTAGAAATTGAGAGTAGGAGATGCTAAATAACATTTTTCCCAAAGAGAATGTTGAAGAATTTTTATCTCGTAGTTCCTGAGGTCAGTTAGTAATGGTAAGTTATTTTGTGTGAGCGCTAAAGTAGAAAAATTTAAAGATGAATTCCATTAATACAATTTTGATTTCATCTCCATTCTATGAGATTTGTCGGTTTGGTTGTCTTGGCATTTTATTTTCTGTTATGTTTATTGAGTGAGTTGATAAGCCTGTCATGTGACTGAATAGTAGATGGCATTGCTGTTTATCTCAGTTTCTAGTAAAGGAAAGTGGTTAGCCCGTCGTAATGCCTCTATAGAACTGTAAGCTTTCCGGGCCACCCCTGGTGGCGCAGTGGTTGAGCACTGGGCTGCAAAGCTGCCCACAGCCTCTGCAGCGCCGGTTCCATCCCTGGACGCCAGCAAGGGTCCCACATGGCGTAGCAGGCCTCTCCTGTCGCGCCCACTGCACCCCTCAGCAGTGTATTTCATCGGTCTGCCTGTTCTGTTCCCTGCTCTGGCTCTAGTGAATTCTCTCACCCTCCTGCTCTTCTGACTGTACCCAGTGCTTGTATAAATAAGTAAATAAATCTTAAAAAAAAAAAAGAACTATAAGCTTTCCAGAGAAGTGGTAATCATTCTAATTGCAAGATTGTTTTGATGGAAATGTGTTTACACTTCAGAATGTAAAGTGGATGTTTGCTTCCAAATTATGGAAAACACATTTTGTCTTTGTATACCTGTCTGAAGAATAAAGATATGCTGGCATAGTCAAATTTGTCTTTCTTTGTGTAGCCCTGCAAACAACATCATTAGGGAACATAAAGGTAACCTGGCTTCAGGCATGCGCGTTCCCAAGTCTCTGCCGTATGTTCTGCCATGGAAAAACAGTGAGTGAAATAGAGGCCAAATGCTTTTACCCTTTGCTGTGTACCATTAGCCAAATACAGGTTGGTCTCGATTATCCAAAGACATGTTCAGTCTGAATATGTCATACTCATGTGACCCTAACAGTGAGTGCCTCCTTAAATTTTGCCCTCTACCTCACTTCCTCCATCTTAGCCCTAGCCCTGTTTGGTAAATGGAAACTAGGACTAAGAAAGTACAAAATCACAGAAGCAACCAGAAGAATATTTTCACGATGGGGTGAACACTGACATCAAACACCATGGATAAATTTGGGGGCCCATAGAAAGATTAATGGCTTTGACTAGGAGGATGTCATCATCTTCAGTTTCCAGGCATAAAATCTCTGGGGAACTGACATTAGAAATTGGATTTCAGGCAAATGAAATAAATCAGAAGGAGAAAGAGAAATACTGCCTGCTTTCACACACATATGGACTGTAAAGAAACAGAGAAAAGAAACAGACAAAACCAAAACAAACCCTTAGAATCTGACTGCAGAGACTACCAGAGGGGGGAGAGAGGAGAGCAGTAGGTAGAAGGGGCCCAGTGAACTGGGGTGCAGGATTATTGGTGTTTTAGTTGTGGGAGTGTTGTGGTAAAATACACTATACCTTTATATAGTATTGTAAACCAATGTTATCTCAAAAAAAAAAGAAAAGAAATGGGAGTGCAGAGATTTAAAAGGAAATGGGTAAAGAAAATGAAACTAATAAATCATAAGCAGCAGCATAAAGAACAGTGTTCAAATGTCTTTCCTGGGCATCATAGCCACTGCTATGTAAACAGGTGCTAAATTCATTATCAGACCACCCTGGGCAAGAAATCCCCACGTATGGACCATCCAGATAATGCCTTTTTTTTTTTTTCGTTCTGTACTTTCCCCACTGTTGCCTCCCTGTTCAGATTCTCTTGATTTCAGTCTGTTGGAGCTAATTTTTCAGTATCTTGAGGATTCCCTTTAAATACTTGTATTTCCCCAAAAAGGAAAAAATTCCCAAGAAGCTTGATAGGTAAAGCATTGTTTTTTCCCCCCATGCTCTTGGATAGAATCCAATCACACTAATTTTAAATTTTCCTACCATTATATTCTAATTCAGTATGTACCCCAGGAATAAGTCATTTGTGTTTAGTAAAATTAGGGGATGGAGTGAATTTCACTTGACATGCTGTATTTATTTTGAAATATTTCTGCTCCATAGATGGAAATGCACAGTAACGGAATATCTATCTCATCAAGTAAGTGTTTGTTTTATTTTACTCTCTGTTCCAATGGTAGCAAGATTTAACTGGACATAAAGCAATTTGGGTCCAATTTTTCTCTCAGATTATGTTACCAAATTAAAGCTTTGTGTGTGCATGTGTTTTTTAAGTTTATAGCCTTTGTTATGGCTTTACACGCTAATGAATAGTAATTTACTGCTTAAATTAGAGTTCTGTTAACATGCCAAGTTGCTTCCCTAACGTTAGTGCACATTGCCTTTTTTTTTTTTCTTTTTCCAAAGTTGCATTCTAGATCTATCAAGTCCCTTTAATGGACTGAGATTAATCAGACAGCTGTGCTTTACTGCTCGCAGTTCTTTCCCTGTGCAGTACAGTTTAACACTCATCAAAAAATCAATGTTTTGTGTCCTTTGGGTAGGTCCCTAGCAGTGGAATTGCCAGATGGTTTCACTTATAGCAGGAATATAGGAGAACCTATGTAAGACATTGGTTTAAAAAAAAATAAGAACAGTACAAAGCACAAAAAAGAAAAAATGGACAATTATAAATCAGAGACATACTACAGGAGAGAAGGAGGGAGAGGGACAGAGGGAGGGAGGAACACAGGGGACTGAGGTGATGGTGCATGGGTATATTGGTGTATTGGTGTATTGGTGAAGGAAACTCAATGGGGATTACACCTGAGGGGGTGGAGGGGAGCAAATACTGTTTAAAAATGAACAATGATGTAAAAAAATAAAATTGATTTATTACAAAAAATAAAGCCATGGGGTCACCAGGTTTCCTAATTTACATAAAAAAAATCATACTGTTTAATGAGCACTTAAAAGTTTTGGGTTTCTAAACATCTTGCACTATTGATCTTATCTGAATATTTGATTTAGCAGAACCTCACAAAACCTATACGAAGAGACCAAAATCTTTTACTTTTCATACATGAAGTCTTTCCTTGAGGTTACCTTCTGTGCCAATAGCAGAGCCAAGTTTTATATTTCAAATACTGTCTTGACAGAGGTTACCCAGCCGCATTACTCCTGGGATAAGGGATATTATAGACTGGGAATGGGATTATGCCCCCACTGTCTTGCAGACAATAGACCCTCAGCAAATATTTTCCAGTGAATAATTGGTCTGTTGCCTTCCAATCCACTCACATCTGTGGGCAGTGAAGCAGATGGACCTGTGAGTTAGGGTTTGTTTTGGACCAAAACGGTGTTTCTTCTAGTGAGAAGCAGAAAAAAGACTCTTAAAGCAAGCACCCTATAACCCTGGAGAATAGTAATTACCAATTGCTTCTAGATACCAGCAATTTCCCTTGGTTGGTTCTGATGTCAAATTGTTAAATGGATCTCGTAGCCAGAACATTGAATTTGTCTCCAGGAGAAAAATAGACACAAAACTTCTGGGATCTGTCAGGGAAATACACATGAATCTGGATGAATCATGAACTTTGAATCTCCCTCTGATCCACTGCACAAGATGCTGGTGCTCATACATAGGTATGGCTACCTAATAAATGATTAAGACAAAAGCCTGGGAGTAACTGTCTCTACCACTTGAAACTAGACACTTCTCTCCTTTGGAACTTAACTCTTTGCTGTTAATTTCCTTACATGCTAAAATTTTATTTCTGTGTATAACACCCAAGGAATGGGATGAGAAGGAGGGAGACAGATAGACACATAGATATCCTAGATTAGGTAAGTCCTTAAATAACCACAGACCTTATTCTCTCAATGAAAATATTCTCTTGACTTCATGCTTCTACTGAATTGACTTCCTCAATTTACAAGTCAAGTGAAATCCACCACCCTTTACTCCGTCTCTTTGAGTTTATCAAGCATACCGATGGAAAAATCACATAAATATGCCATTTTTTGAATATCTATTGCAAAAATATATAACTTCTTTGGAAGAATACAAAAGAAATGAAAGACATGACTTACTCCCTTAACCAACTTTTGTGTGTGTGGAGATTTTTTTTTTTTTTTTTTTTTTTAAATATTAAATTTTATTTTTATATTCCCCCATACAATTGCAAATGCCCCATTCTGACCCCAATCCTTCCCCTCCCGCCCCCCACCCCCCAAAAAGTGTCTCTGGTTCATAGTTTTTTGTTGATTTTGATTTTCACTTTCTTATATTCATTTTCCTGGTCCCTTATTTAAGTTTTCTAGATTCCTGCTATGAGTGAGACCATCCGGTATTTTTCTTTTTCTTTTTGGCTTATTTCGCTGAGCATGATCCCTTCCAGTGCCATCCATGTTGCTGCAAATTGCATGTGTTTATCTTTTTTGAATGCTGAGTAATATTCCATGGTATATATGTACCACATCTTCTTGATCCAGTCATCTATTTTTGGGCATTTGGGTTGTTTCCAAAGCTTAGCTATTGTAAACAGTGCTGCTATAAACATAGGAGTGCAGGTGCTCTTTGGAATTGATGTTTCTGTGTCCTTTGGGTAAATACCTAGGAGTGGAATTGCTGGATCATATGGAAGCTCTATGTTTAGTAGGTCCAGAAATCTTGTGTGGAGATTTTTTTGAATGCACATATCAATACATGAAAGGGGTTTGTTCACTTAGCCCTTAATAGGTTTTTTTATCCCAATTGTTTTTTCTAGATAAGTGTCTAAAACACAAGTTATATCATATTAATTTTCCCCAATATACATTGTAAAAGCTCGAAAACTGTTGTTGAGTTAATCAGAAAATAGAGAATATGAAAAAGAGATGAATACAAGTTCCTTGGAATTAATCCAGAATTGTCTGGAGGAGTTAATTCTGGGATAGTCAGTTCTGATTTTCTCCTCACTTGTGAAACTGTTGACACAAGAAGTGTGCATTGATCTCTGTATAGAATGTTTTTAATTCAATTAACAAGTTTCTGAATGCTTAGTACTAAAGAGCAAAGGGTCAGAAGGCACTTGGTGTTGTGCCATTAACAATCTCCAGGAACTAAAAATTCCTTCTTTTTCTCCTTTCCTTGTAGACTCCAGATACTAGAAGATTCTTCCTTCTACCACTGGGTTCTCCATTTTTCTCCTAATCTCATTATAGAAAGATAAACTGACTTTCAAACTGACAAGTACTTTTGTTTTCTAACCCCTTTGATTCATTTGATTCAAGAAAGAACCCTGATACTCAGAAGAACTGTTCCAAATTAAACCATCAATGTAGTTAATTACTTTGGTTACCTACCTGCAGACCCAAACTCAGAAATTATACATTCCATTCAACATTACTGAAACGTAATCACTTAAAGTTATTTCACAAGACCTAGAAGTAACTGTGTATGTGTGTGTGCTTGCATACCTATGAACCAAATTCATTTTAACATAAGAATGCACCTTTTTTGATCAGTGCTTCTCTTTATCCAGAGTCTCCAAGATGTTGATAGCATTTATATAGAAAAATACCCCAGTCTTATTTAGAATCTTTAGGACATTTTGCTACCTGAAGATGTCTAACCTAGGATAGCTTTACTTTCTCTCCAAGCTCCAGCTAGAAATTACACTATCAACCTAGATGTGGATTATGTAGGATTATGTTGTAATGGAGATGAATCAGTGCATATGGGGAGAAGACAGGCTTTTCCACCTGTGTGTGAAATTTGATTCAGCATCAAAGCTTAAGTGTGTGCCGGCCTCCCTCACTGCCGGCCCCCCTCACTGGGATGTGTGGATAATAAGTTGATTTCTGAAACACCCAAGGTTCTGGCTACCTTAGTATCTTATTGCCCCTTATAAGGAGACTTCATAATCTCCTAGACCAGTTTTTTGTTTGTCATATTTTTATTTTCTTCTTTGTTTGGTGGTTTTCAAGTTTAGTTTGATGTTTAGAAATGTCTGGCATGGAAAGGAATCTGGGATCTAGAATAGATAGGAACTTAGATAAAGCATAATTATAAGTATTCCTAAAAAATGATCTCTCTAGCATTGTGTGTGGGTGACAGATAAGTGGGAATGGGCTTTTATAGAAAACTCCTTCCACAAGTTTCACACCAAACAGGATTCTGCCCTAATGAAGCAGAGCGCTTTTTTCATGTCTCTAAAAATAGGTTCAAGATAAGCTGGAGTAGCATGGCCTGCCTCCTTCTAGGCTGGATGGTCTAGAGTGGATACCTGAGCCCTTTCTTCTGGAGAAGGTGGAGCTGGGGGGAAAAAATCCTTCATGCCCCTAGTTCTGGTAGTTTATATTTGTGTATCAATCAGTACCTCACAACAACTTGATTTTATAGTCTTATTGCTGGAAAAAAACAAAAGGCTTTTGGTGTCTCTTGTTTGATAACAGAACAAAACTTTATGCTACACTTGTAACCAGAACTCCTAAGAAGAGGAGCAGAGGTATGGGTCTGGTGCACAGAATTAACTACTTTAATTAAATAGGAATTAAATAGAAAATAGTTACTTTCTGTTTTTAAATATCTAAAGGAGCGAGACCCTAGACTAACAGCTATCATTCATGAAAAACTAGAGAACTTTACTTTATTAGGATACCTCTTGGTGCGTGACTACTAGGACTTAATCATAAAACAGTTGTCCTTTTGGGAAGTGAGTGGCACTTGCTGTAGGAGAATGCCAGCCTGTATTAATTTAGTTAGCTCACAAAGTAGGCAGTCCTGTTGTTTCCTTAGTGAACTGCTGATTAAAGCAGCTGATTTGCCTACTTTAGGAGCTTTCAGAAACTGCTTAGGATTTTTATTGGGCCTAGAATTCACTGGTCTGGATTGTTTGCTGGGAAATTTTTTGAAAATTCCCAAAAACTAGAACCAAGAAGTGACTAACTACTACTGTCAGAAGTCAGGAAGAGAAGCTTACTTATCTTTGAGCACCTGTTTTTCAGAAAATACTCTTCTTTGGAATGTAAACAAGGGGAGGTAAACAGTTGAATATTTTACCTTCATGTCAAAGTCAAGTGTCAAGGTTAAAAAGCTAAATACAGAGACATTTCAAAAGTTAGCCCAGAGAGCCTTTGAGCCCCTATAATTTGATCTTATGGAGGGTATCCATACTCTACTCCAAGAAGAGAGTTCGCGCTCTGGAAGATTCCCTTACTCTGTATGGTTTCTAGAAGTGCCATTGTGATTTGCAAATATTCTTACCAGAAATAAACAAATATAGGTAATAAATGATGCCTAGCTCTTCTGGTAGCTGTAATTGAGCTAAACAGGGTGAGTGTGGATTTAATTTAAAATAATGCACTGCAGTTGCCCTTTCATTGGTGAGGCAGAACAGTCACTGCTTATGTGAATCTCCTAGACAAGATGAATACACCCGTACTGCTGCTCGGAGTTCTTTAATTGTGCAGATTGTATTAAGGTCCAAAGTAGGCAGAAACTGAGGGTGATAACCTTATACTTACTATTACCATTTTCAAAGAAGCAAGTTATAAAAGATTTGTATAATTTAAATCATCAAAGCTTGACTGGCCTTGGGGAGAAGAGACCTTTATGAAAATACTTTTTCTTATACCCATTCAATGGATAGAAGAATGAAAAAGATACAGTAGTGGCTGCTTGTTCTTTTGATCACTATTTTCATTGCTAAGGTTCTGAATATATTCATATCCCACTTTACTGGCTGAAGAGGCCAAAGCCACTGCAGTCACATTAAACTGTTTCCTCATGCCACAGGCCCAGCTAACTCTGTTCCAGCCACACAGAGGTCTGCGACAAGGCATTTGCCCTCTACACAACAATTTCACGCCCTGATTCAACACACTTAAAACTCTGATAAACTTGGTAACTGAGACAAATACAAAACCTAAGATTGTTTATAGCTAGGAAGAGCATCTTAGGCCAGACAGTACCTCTGGAGAACGACCATATGGTCAACAGATTTGCATTTGCTTACCCTCTTCAAAGACTGTTTTATTTAAAACTAAAATAGTGTAAGAGCCTTTGAGGAAATGTGAAGAAAAGTTGTTTTGTTTTATAATAATATAAATATATACATAGAGGAAATAAATCCAGTTGTATGAAAAACTGCTATGAATCCAACCATGCCTTTTAATTTTTATTAAAATACTTGTCACTGAAATAAAGTATGCTTTGCCAGTGTATCTGTTTCAGTTCTCTTTCCTCAAGCTTGAGGTCGAAGTTTTCATAGGACAGGGTCAGGGACTTAGATTATTTACCTCCTTGTGCTGATTTTCTCTGGAAGAGAACTTTATAGCAGAGGTATAAATTGAAAGTGATGGAAGGTCTTGCTCTTGAGATTAGCAAGCTCCATTGAGATATTCTTCTATTGAATTGGAGATTTCAACTGAGTTGCTGTTTTAGCTTTATAATACCTTTGAAAAATAAGCATTGATAAGGTTTATGATATGGTCTATAGCTTTGATATCCACCTGTCATGCCTCATATGCTCTGAGAGCTGGAAGGAATTCAGAGAGCACCTTAATCTGAAGCTTCATCTTCCATATGAACAAACAGACCATGTACAGATCTGGAACATGACTTTTTTAGGGTAAAAGAGAATGGTAAACACAAAAATCAAGATAGTGGTTACCTCTAGGGGAGAAACCACGGGAAGAATCAGGAAAAAGCACAGTATATTAATAATGTTCTGTTTAATAAGTTGGGTGATGTTTACTGGTGTTTATTTTAGTATGCTTCTTAGGTGCATATTAAATACTATATAGTTTTAAAATATTTAAGAATTATTACTAAAATAGAGTGCTCACTGTAGGCAAGCCACAGTTCTTAGTCATATTTTTAACCCAGATCCAGGGTGGATGAAAAACAGCCCCTAGAATCCTCATCTTTGCTGAGGCTACACAGCTTGTTAATAGCAGTGACCATAACCTACAATACCTGATTTCTCATTGCTGCTGTTGGCTTCTTTACATCCTGCCCTGAACCTCTCATTTTCCCAGGCTCTGGAGTTTCTTCTGGACACATTCCCCTGTCTACCAGCTTGGACTCCATCATCAGTCACTTCACTGGCCTAAATCAGCACTGAGTTCCCATGACCCCATGCTTCTGCTGTCTACTGCATTGGCTTCACCAATTTCCAAGTCAGGTGAACCCTACCACCCCTTGCTCCATCTCTTCTAGTTTATCAAGTGCACTGATGGGAAAATCACATGAATATGCCATATGATTTCTTAATTCAGGCACCCATTCTTGTCTGGCTTTTTCACATTTACCTAGTGACCATTACATCCTTCTTATTGTTCTCCTCAACTTTATAATCTATTTCCCACCCCTATCTTAAAAAGATGACTGTGTCTCTTATTCCCAAGAAAAATTGGTCATGAAACTTTCACTTTTTTTCATCCCTAGGAGTTTTAGAGCATCCATCTTTTCCTTTATCTTCAAGGCTAACCTCTTCCTTGTACTATATCTCAGTTTTACCTGTTGATATAAATTTTCCCAAAGCAAAGTAGATTAAAATGATAAGAATCATAGTTCCTATGATAAGGAATCCAGGAGTGATTTAGCTGTGTGATCCTGGCTTGGGAACTTTGATGTGATTGCAACCAGGGCTACAGTTTTCTGAAAACCCAGCTGAACCTGGAGGATTTACTTCTAAGATGGCTCCCTTATGTGCCTGGCAAGTCAGTGTTGGTTGTTGGCAGATAGCCTCAATTCCTGCCCATGTGGGTCTCCACAGCCCTTTCATCCTCATGGCATGTCAACTACTTACCCCAGTGTGAGCAGTTTAAGAACAAGACAGAAGCTAAATTATCCTATGAAACCACACTCTCATTTTTACAATGTGCTATTGGTGACACTAGGTACCCTTTTACATGGGATTGGGGAACGTCACAAGAGCATGAATACCAGCAGGAAAGAATCACTGGGGCCATCTTGGAGACTGATTATTACACCCAACTTATAGCTTCCAACATCTTCCATAAGTTTTCTTTTTATTTTAATTCTATTTCTCTTTCATTCTTTAAGCTATAGAAATGCCATAGTTGTAATCATTCTGTTAAAAAAAAAGACATACTCCTCTCTCCTATTGATCAGTGTTCAGTTGCAGAAAATAGAATCATTTGCGCTAGTGTAAGCAGGAAGGGATTTGTTAGAGGGCACTCAGAGAATCACAAAATTGTTGAGAAGGCTGAAAAAAAAACTCTAGATTGGACTTCCAGAAAATAACTCTCCAAGACTGTTTAGGAAGCTGCTGCTTATACTAAAGTTAGGCAGCTGCCAGCTCAAGTGGTACACCACCAGCGGATGCCCCGCTGCCTGTCTTAGCCCCTGCTGGCTGAATCCAAGTGATATGCTAGTGCTTCTGATTGGCAGAACCACAGTCACACCTGAACCCTAGCTCCAAAGGACTGTGGGAAATGTAATCTTGCTTTCCAGCTTCTGCACACTGGCAGAGTATACATGTTGAGCAGACCAATACCTAGCACCCCTGGCACACCTTCTCTAGCTGTTGCTTGCTGGCTGCTGCTCTTCAGCA